TGTATATGTCTATATATATATGTGTGTGTGTATGTATGTATGTATGTATGTATGTATGCATGCATGCATGTATGTACGTACATATATATATATACATATGTAGAAACACACATGAGGGAATATATATATATATGTGTGTGTGTGTGTGTCTGTGCGTGCGCTCGCATGCATGTGCATGTGCAAGTGCAGGCGCACGTGCATGCGTATATATGTGTTCATGCACATAAACGTATGAAGGTATGTGCACACATACAGAACGGGCGAGAGAGAGAGAGAGAGCGTGGATATAGGCATGCATATATATATATATATATGCAGGGATGTACGTGTGTGTGGGTGTGTATGTATAGCTACATACATACATTTATGCTACAACAAAACGTCATGGGTAAATGCTAAACGGTTGGACGGTCGGACCAACAAGCAAAACTCTTAAGAAATAAATGTTTGTCGATGTATACATGCATATACACATATGTATATAGGTGCGTGTATGTGTGTATGTATATGTAAACTCCTCAGGCATGAAGCCTGTGTCAAGCGAGCAGATTCGACAGCAGATTGCCTGCGGACCGTAGCCGTAATCAGAAACCCTTACAGGACCGGACAGCTCTCCTGCCGAGATGCACAGGAGACAGCTGGATCCTTTGCCCACCGCATGGCAACTTTGGCCATGACCGTCCGCTGTAGCGCCTAGACAAGCCGGAAGTTCACCTAGCTTTTACTGAGTGCGTGTGTACACATGTGTGCATGTACCGTATATGTATGACCCGTAAGACTGCGAGTGTGTTTGTGTACAGGTATATGCTCATGTGTCAGGGCGCTCCATAAGTGAGTATTGTATATAAATATAATATATTGTATACACTTATTATGTACATATATATATATAAACAGATAAATACATACAGATATATAGACACACAAATATACACTCTTCACACAGAAATGTAGTGGACAGAGTGCTAAAATTTGAAAGTATACAAGGGACAGCAGAGACGAGACATGTACCCGTTCCCTACCGCGTGAGCTGACACGACTACGGCTCGCCCATGCTGGCCGCTCAGCCGCTAGCTGCTGAGATTGTATTACAACTGACTGTATCATGTTACGCCATGTTGAGTATGGCCAAACATTCGAGGATTGGGGGTGGGCTGTCGCAGCCTGAAAACCCTCGGAGGTATTCGGTGGCACTGCCACGCCCTCTGCAGCAGATTCCTCTGGTCAAAACCGATGCCGTCATCAAGTCTATCCAGTCACTGAGGCACAGGAAAATTACTAAATTCTTTGTCTGAAGATACTGGCTGCTAGCTGGCTCACAGCACCTGGATGCAGAAACAGGATTGCCGCAATGGGCATCACCATCCCAATTTTCGACATGTCCTCCAGAAACGCTTGCCAATCCTTGCGCTGGAGGTGTGCCGCGGCAGCAAAGACCTGGGGTCGTAGCATGGATCGTTTGGCTTGACGCCTGCATCTGTTCTCCGGAGACGGCAGATCTGGCATGTAAAAGTGAAAGGTCAGCTGTCACCACTTCTCACCCGGCATGCAAAACGACTTTGCTATGTGTTTTCCTAATGAACCTCATTGAAGCTGTGTTGCGAAGGGGTGCACCTCCCGGCCGATGCTCGACAGTGCCTCTCGCAGAGGAGCTTTAGCTTGAGATAGCCTAGGGGCCTGTACAAGAAGACTATGGTTCTGCGGTATAGTCTGATTACACTTGTTATTTGTTAATACTATGATCACAAGAATTTAAGTACGTATGGTCACTTTTTTATTCATGAGATGTCTTATTCTTACAATTGTGGATATTGACCGTTGTACTGTTATTCTTCCTATGATTAATAGTGTTATCCTTTTTGAGCATTATTGAATTATTTCTATTTAGTAGTTGTACATAGGGACTCGTCCCATCCAGTGTTGAAAAGCCGGAATATGGGCCCAATGACAAGATACTGTTGTTTCAGACGCCTCTCGGATGAATTCTGATTCTCTACCCGTCTCCTGCGGCAGCATGAAGCAGGAAGAACACTGAAGATGCCTCGCTAGGCCACTCCAATGCCGCGGCTCCTCACCATACATCTAATTTAAAACGAATTTTGAAGCCTAAACCCTAGACCCTAAGAAATTCACTTGAAGTGCAACCCTTCAGGGCCGACCACACCTTCCAGGCGGCCCGAAACTCGCGAGGGCCCTGACCATCACCGTCCATGAGCACCTCAGAGACGCTTCAAAAGAAGCTTGGGGCAACCATACGGTGGATCTTCAAGACCCCGTCATACGAACCCTATGCATGTCTGAAAGGAGCAGGTATCTGGAGCAGGTCTAGAGTTCCCTGAGTTTTGGCATAACAAGCACCTGAAGGCACGGAGATGACCAGCCTACCAGACTTCGACATTCTAGCAGTTGCTCTGCGTTTTGGGGGCACCAGTCGTAGTCGTGCCATCCAGCCAGGGCGCCACGAGCCGGTCGAAGCTGCAAATTCCTCGGGCTCATAAGCACACCGCGTACTTTCGGGGCTGTAGGCACTTACTGAAGCCCTGAACACATGCCATGCTAGGAGAGTATTCGGTCATGCCCGAATCCGATTGCACAGAATTTGCGGGCATGGTATGCTTAAAAATTCTGTTGCCGCAGCCCAAGATCTCAAAGTTCAAGGTCAAGCCTCGAATCGCTCCCCTCGTGCTGTCATGCCTGGACTCTTTTGCAAAGACACAACTGCTACAATGCGCTTGGCACCCCAACCGAATCTCCCGACCCCAGCGGGCCTTCGCCACCATCGGCACGCTTGCTTCTTCCTACCCGCTGAGGTCGGCAAACGAGACCGGCGATGAGGATGGCGGCTGTGGAGGTCCTGGCACTCCAGGGAAAACCAGGTGCTGGAAAGAGGTCCGAAAAGCTGCAACTGTGCACCGCGGTTCAGCCCACTCACCATGGCCCTTGTAGACGCGATAAGACACTGTGGTGGTCATCACATCCGGATATCCGATTAGGGAAGCAATCCACCACACCTCCTGGGTATGTGTGTGTGTGTGCGTGTGCGCGCGTATGTGTCCATTCACTATCCTTGCACACATACATATCACATAATGTAAAAAAATAATATGGCACACAATTATATGGTCACACCTCTCCTCCTCCTCCGAAGCCTCCAGGGCAGCATTCCCAGGCTGCTTCTTGGAAGCATCTGCATCCCGAGCGGCATAAAGGCCTTGGAAGTTCAGCTCTGAAGCACTGGCCCATCTCAAAAAACAGGTCTCACCACATGCTCAAGGATGTGGTTTACATGTAGTGTAGTATTTGCCCACGTCAGCCGTGCATGGAAGCTTCAGCTGTTTAGGTCGATTGCTCAAGCCGGGGAAACGCTGTCCACAAGCTCCGTGGAAGCACAGGCAAAAGCACAAGCCCGGACATCCCCCCAACCTCTATGACCTGATCAAAGCGCACAAATTAAATCTCAAGAAGACGCCCAGGAACGGCATTGGGACCACTTTGGGGCCGTGCCAAACTCGAGGTGAAGGAGGCCATGCTTTCGCTGCTAAGCACAGGCGTTGCATGGGGCTAGCAGAGTGGGAAAGATCGAGTTGAGACTTTCATCGCCCGCGAAGGACAGACAGGTGTGCAGTTGGTATGTCTTGTAATGCAAAGCTTAGTCGAGGCCAAAGCCGGAGCTCCGGCTCCTCGGTGGAAGGCCCCAAAAGTCTTTGAATTCGATAGTGCTAAACTGCAACTTCTCGCTTTACGACGACTTCCGGGTGGCATGCCTGGGTTTGAACCACATGAACCAGCCAATGGCGTTGCAGAACCTGTGGCTGTGCCATTCTTCTTAGCTACCGTTCGCGAGATGATCGGCTCATCGGCTTCCAGTGGCCGTGGCAGCCGCTGGCAAAACTGAGCTCTTGCGCGTCTGGCGGTGTCATGGGCTCCACCACCGGGTTATGAGATGGAAGCCAGGCACTTGGACCGTCAACAACTATCAGTACATGCTTCGACAATGCCCTGCGCTCGACAGTTTGAGAAAAGCCTTTGGTTTGACCCGACTTCTGAGAAACCGCAGCAAGGCCAAGTGGGTGGTGTCATCCACTGCTTCAGCTGGAGTGCAGTCAGCAAGAGGGTGGCCCAAGCAAAGGCCAAGCCAGTAATCAGCCACACCTCAGCTCGTAACTCAGACACATACGACGCCGAAATGAGCGGCATGTTTCTGCGTGGTTCACACCACCGACCAGACGTGGAAAATCTCCAAACTCTCGTTGTACGTCGCATTGATGATATGGAGCCAAACAACACAATGGCAGTGGCAGCAACAAGATGTGTAAGTAGTCCTGCAGTCCTTATAGCTACAGTAGCTACATCAAACCTGCAATTGCAGATGCAGATGCATGCTAAGTCCAATGCCTAGCTTCGGTGTGGAGCTCGCTGGCCGGAACTTTGAAAACGGAGTGGACCTCCAAGCGCTCTGTGCGCACGCAGAGGTGCTTGGAGCAACCCGTCTCGAAGAACAGGACGTAGCTTTTCCTTGCTGCATGTCTGCCCGCTTTTAGACTTGTTTATAGACACATGTTCAAAGTTGCGTGCATGTGTGCAGACATTGAGAATCATGTCTGAACATAACCGACATGCAAAGCTTGCACCGGCAACAACCGTAGATGCAGGACAAGCGGACACGCTGATGTCCCGAGTCTCGGAAGACTCAATACCACAGCTTCTGCCTTCTAAATGAAACCACCGTGCTCAAACAACCTTGCATGGTCAGGCATCGTCCTTCGTGGCGCGGCCTTTTCCACTGACAGGAAGCACACAGGCAGTCTCCTGAGCACGAAGGAGCTTCAAGTTACCACAATGGGGATCTACAGTTTACAGGAAGAAACATGGTTTGCTGATTGGTAACTTGAATAAACATTCCTTACCAGGAACCCAGACTAACAACATGAAATGACGTGAACAACAAGGCCATCGTCCAGCCGCACAAACACACATTAGAGTCACTAGAGTATCCCATGTATTACTATGCTATGACATAGTATCTTGTAGCATAATACAGCATGTTATAGTAGATCATCCAGTGCTACTAGGGAGGAGGTGGAGGAGGAAAATGTCCCACAGGTGTGCGGCCGTCAACCCCCTTCCCCCCAAGCATCTCGGAGATGCCGTCATCGCTGCTCTCCGCGAGGGGTTCGATAACTCACCAAGCCAAGTTTCACAATTCGCACGACACCTAGTGAAATCGCGTGCGAAGAAAAACGGAGAGCGATTGTGGCACGAGGACTGACCACCACTCCACAGTTGGGGAGATTCACGCACTGAGGTGCAACGCTTTCTGCATTTGCCACAAATGCAACGGCACGGACAGTACTGATAGAGCCGTGTGATCAACAGCATTCAATAGCATAGCAGCCTTTTCCGGCATAAAGTCAGGGTGCCACGTGCCACGTCCCAAACCTTCACTCACAACTGCCGGGAAGGCTTCGCAGGTGACTCTTGTTTGTGCAGCTGGTGAGGCGCAAGCTGCCAAATCTAGGACAGCTAGGATCTAGGACTTCTTCTGTTCAGGATGTGAGATTGGCCCTGTGGCCCGTGCAAGATTTTCGGCAGAAAGCTGGACCAAAGTTTGCCTTGAGGCGATCCGCGAATACCAAAGGAGCAGCAGCTGTTGCTGAGCGCATCAAAGGGCGGCCTCTTTGCACCACAGCAAGTGCAAACCCCAGCATGAATCCATGGCGAGCAGGTTCTGCTGCCCTGTCAGCATTCCCGCCTAGGAATATGGCGCTTGGTGCAGCCCGTGCATTGCAGAGCTTCCTCACACACTGCAAGCTCCAAACAGTGACTGACTATGCTATGCTGGAGTTGTTCTCCCTTGTGCGTTGGAGATAGGACAGCGTATCGAGGCACTGCGGCTGATGATGTGGCCATGGAGCAACAAAAGGGAACCCTTTTTACACCTGGACTATGCATATGCCAGGAACCGAGGCATAAAGCCTAAACCCTGAACGCAACGGAGAGCATTGCCGAGGGCATCTCTCCTGCAGACCTGCTAATAAGCTTTCTTTGCCTTTCGCCCAAGAAGGTAGCAACCGCAAGCATGCGGCATGGGGTGTGCGCACGGGGACCCTGACTTTGAGGTTTCAGCCTGGGCGAGGACAGCACGCCCTCAAGCATCCCTCTTTGACTGAGGCGGCACGAATGCAACCGTTGCTGGCACAGCCGGTGCATGGAGCACTTTATGCACAGTCATTGCCCTGCGCACAACTACCGCATGCCACATCTGTGTCCTAAGCTTGGTCGGGCATATAAGCTGAAAATCCGCTCCAGCATCAGCTGCAGCAAATGTCTCGGTCCAATCCACGCACACCGCGACGTGAGCGACCATCAAAGCTGTGTGGGAAACGCAGGCGTTTTCGGAGTGCCCCGGCTCAAGGCTGTACGAAGGAGAGCTTCTGATCCACAACTTGAGCCGAAATGGCCACGGTACTACTACCTCTTATATATATATATACATATATATATATATAGAAATAATATCATCGAATAGAATAGAATTAGAATAGAATATAAATATAATAGGTTCAACGACCCTGTGACGCCCAATTGTACTAGAGCTGCCTGGCGAAGAGTGTGCCAGCTGCCTCCG